GGGAACAAGTCCATCCAGCTGCCCAGCCGCATTCACACAGCCTCAACTACCACACGCACACATTTTATCACCAGCTTGCCAATTTCCGCGGAAAGCCTGCCAGGCCTTTGTTTGTGACTGCACTGGATTACAGATCTTTTGATGGGATAACTGGTCCCTCAGCAACACTGGGTTTCTGAATCTACTAATATGGTATACCCCTCCTTTTATTTAGGTCTTAATTTCTCTCAGTAATGTTTTGTAGGATTCAATGAAGAGATCTTGCACATCTTTCATTACATCTATCCCTAGATATTAAATTTTTATGTTAATATAATGGTATCTGTTTTAAATTTTCTGTTGTGGTTGTTACTAGTATACAGAAATGCAACCCACTTCCACCACCAGAGTCGATTCCAACTCACAGCAACCCTAAAGGACAGAACAGAACTGCCTCATAGGGTTTGTAAGACTAAATCTTTATGGAAGCAGCCTGCCACATCTTTCTCCCATAGAGCGGCTGGTGTGTTCAAACTGCTGACCATTTGGTTAGCAGCCAAATGTTTTAACCACTATGCCACCAGAGCTCCTTGTGAAAATGCAAAGTAATAAGTAAATCTCACTTTGCCTAATTTACGTACGAATAATCTGTAGATTCGCTTGGACTGTCTGTGTACCAGATGTGTCATCTGTGATAATGACAGTGTTCTCACAGTCTTTATGCTTTTTTTTCTTCTTATGGACTTAATGCACTGGCTAGGACCCCCACCACAATGGTGGATGGAGATGGTCATGAGAGGCACTCTTCTACCACTCCAGATCTTGAGGGAAAAGCTGAAAACTACAATGTTTTTCTTAAAACTGATGTTTGTGTCACTATCTCAAAAGAATTATTTTACACTCAAAGACTTCAGCACGTTTCTTTAGCCTAGCAACTTTATTAAATAAGGCTACAACTGAAAACAAAACCCAGTGCCAGCAAGTTGATCCCAGCTCACGGCACCCCCTTGTGTCCAGTGTAGAACTGCTCCACAGGGTCTGCTCTGCTGTGATCTTTATGGAAGCAGACTTCCAGGTCTTTCTTCTGCTACAGCTGCTGGTGAGCAGTCCTTAAAATAAGTCAGGCACTGCGTGGAGCACTTACTGCGCCCTCTCATTTGCATCTCACAAGGACACCATGCATCAGACGCCATCAGAACCCCAACTCAGATGGGAAATTTGAGGCCCAGAGAGTCCTTAACTAGGTCCAGCTCTGTCTGCCTCCAAAGAAAGAATGAATCTCAAACCGTCTTCCATACGGAAAACAAATTAAATATTGCACTAGAGAGAGGGAACAGATGTACTGTTAAGTTTTCAAGTTGGCATGTTCAGAAAATGAGGTCTTCCACAAAAGTGCTGCCTTTCACATTCATCCCTTAAAGCATCAAAAATGTTACAATGCCACAAAGGCACGTACATCTTTGAAAACATACCACATACTCTCTTGCATGTATGCACAGCACGCAGCATGTCACTGGGCCTTTCTCTGACAAGACAGGGTCCGTGTCAGCAAGCAGCACCCTGGGGCGGCACTGGGCCAACTGGCCCCACACCAAAGGACTCGCCCAGCCACACAGCCTGGCTCGGTGCCCACACGTTCCGCTCCTTCTGCTCTTCGTCCTTATCTATCCTCACTCAGCAGCACAACGCAGGCCAGGAGGCGTGGCAGCAGGCAGGTCTGTGACAGAGGCCATGTGCAGCTGCTGGCTCATTGGATCCTGTCCTCTGCAGCGCTCAGTGCTGCTTGTCCCAGACCAGGGAAGCACTGCCTTATCCTAGCCTCCAACAGCTGGTTCATGTAATGCATTTTCTCACATGCTGGCCTCAGTGGACATCTGGAACCACATATGCTATATGGAAGCCTTCTCAGCCCCTCTTCACCTCACCAAGGAGAACGGCTGTCCAAGCCAGTCTTGTATTAGCTCTCCTCTGAACAGACTCCCATCACTCCAATGAGATGCAGACATGATGCAGGTCCCAGTCTGCAAAATCCCCCTGGGCACTCTCGGACACCATACGCCCGTGGTCCTCGCCTGGGCTGGCCGCTACATGCACTGAGCCTGACTCCTAGCCCAGCCCACCCCAAGTGAGTCAGAATTCCTAGGGTTGAGCATCCCCAGGTTGCTGTCTTCACCAGCTCCCAAGCCAATGACCACACACGCAGCCAGGATGGAGAAGCTGTGTTTCAGAGAACAAGACTGCAGTAGTTAAATTTGTGTGTCAACTTGGCTGGGCCTGGTTGAGTGGCTGGGAAGCTGGTGGTAGTTATTCCCCATGATAAGACTGCCAATCAGCTCCACGGTGGGATCTACCACAAGCAGCTGAGTGGGTGCTTTAGGGATGTGGTCTGCTTCCTGTATATAAGGAGAAGCCTTGGGAATGGTCTCTAGCTTATGGCACACTTGGACCCTGCATGTAGCTGTGTCATTGTTCAATTGCCTGCTATGCTCTGCTGACGTGGGGACTTACAACAGACTTGAATTAATGGCCTGCCATGTGGTTTGGTAACATCGGGACTGTGCCTTTTTATTTGTTGACCTTGGGCTTGTTAGCCTCAGCAGCCAATAGCTGTCTGAGTGAGGAGATGTCTCTAGCTTCAATGGGCTGGGAGCAAGAGGCAGAGCTGAAGCCCAAGGTCAAGGGGCTTTGACCCACCACCTAGAGCCTGGCACTTTGAACTCAGACTTAAAGCCTCCAAACTGAAAGAGAATAAACTCCTGTTTGTTAAAACATCCCATTTGTGGTATATTCCTGTCAGAGCAGCACTAGGGAACCAACAAAAATAAAGAGGCAGGCAGACAGATACACACACACACACACACACATTTGTTCAAGGCCAAAAACTTACTTCCTTCTGGATTTGGTGCAGAAAGAATGATGCTGTGGTTTTTCTTCACTTCTTCGACGTACTGAGCAATCTTGGCTATACTGTTTCTAATCTCCTCAACCTGGAAAAGACATGAAAAGTCATTTCAATGTGGCAGATTCGAAGCCAGGACGGCCCTCTTCACTACCTAAAAGTGCAGGCAGAAGAGAGAACCAGCAATCACCATGTGACACAGCGGTTAAAGCACTCAGCTGCTAAGCAAAAGGCAAGGGGTTCAAACCCACCAGCAGCTCCATGGGAGAACGATGAGGCAGCCTATTTCCACAAGGATTTGCAGCCTTGGAAACCTTCTGGGGGCAGTTCTATTCTGTCCTATAGGGTCACTATGAGTCAGAATTGGCTCGATGACAATAGGTTATTTTTTTGTTTTAAATATTTGGAAAAAAAAAAAAAAACCTAAGTAAAAGCCTTTCCCCATCTCCCACTGATAATTATTTAATTTAAAAGATAAAGAGACATGCATCATCTTAAAACATCTACCTTTATGTCTAACACAATATCAGCCAATACTCACCCACAAAACCTAATTAAAAAAAACAAACGCCCTGCCATCGAGTCAATTCCGACTCACAGAGACCCCCCCTTTGGGTTTTCAAGGTGGTAACTCTTTACAGAAGAGACTGCCCAGTCTTCCTTCCGTTGAATGGCTAGTGGGTTTGAGCTGCCAACCTTCTGGTTAGCAGTCAAACAGGGTACATAAATTTTTACAATCATGACCCAAGTATTACCAGATGACCCCAACTAGAAGCATACTAAGGACTTCTGGTGGCACAGTGGGCAAGGCATTTGGCTGCTGACCAACTAGAAGCATACTAAGGACTTCTGGTGACACAGTGGGCAAGGCATTTGGCTGCTAATATAAGGTCAGCAGTTCAAACTCACCAGCACCCCCACAGGACGAAGATGAGGCAATCCACTTCTGTAAAGATTTACAGCCTTGGAAACCCAATGGGGGTGGTGTCCCTATGAGTGGGAACCGACTTGATGGCAGTGGGGTGGGTAGAAGCATACTAGAAGTACGCATCGTTTGGTCTAAGGAGCCCTGGTGGCACAGTGGTTAAACACTTGCCCGCTACCAGGTAGGTAGGCACTTTGAACCCCCTAGCCACTCTGCAGCAGAAAGATGAAGCAGTCTGTTTCTGTAAAGGTTTACAGCCTTGGAAACTCTATGAGGGGGTTATACTCTGTCTTGTTACAGGACTCACTGAGTCGGAACCGACCCAACAGCAACAGGTTTGGCTCTCAGTCTAGCAGAGAAGTAAGGTCACCCTGAAGACTGTGCTCACAGTCATATGTTCACGTGAGCAGGTCTTCCAGGTTTACAAGGCTCAGTTTTCACATTCACTATCTCTGGCCTCTAACAGTCTTAACTACTCCATGTTTGCTTCTCAACATAACTACGTATTAGCAAGACAGGCCAGATAGTGGAAAACCTGTAGTCGCCTGAGTAAGGGGCTCCAAATACGTTCATGACCTGATCCCTAGACCTGTGACTGGCATCTTATGTGGCAAAGGACCTTGCAGATATGACTCGCCACAGATCTTGGATGGGAAGAGCACCCTCCGTTACCCAGATGGGCCCACTGTAACCACGCTGCCCTTGAAGGTGGAGCAGAGATCCGATGGAGAGGAAGGCAATGTGACCATGGAAGTGAGAAGCTACGACAACGGTTCTGACGATGGAAGGGGCGCAAGCCACAGAGTGCAGATGGCCTCAAGAAGCTGGTCCAGGCAAGTGTGATAGCTGGAGCTGTGTGTCAACTTGGCTGGACCACAGTTCTGGATGGTTTAAGCAACTGTGATGTGAGCTATTCCCATGATGGGATCCGATGTATGTTATGAGCAGCCGATCTGCCGAAAGGGAGTTTCTCTATGGGTGTGGTCTGCTTCTAGTATATTTACGGACGTCCTGAGAAAAGAGACACTCTTCTCTGGACTAGGATTCTGTCGTGCTGCCAAAACAGACTGTGAGTGAACAATCCACCATTCAGCCTGGAGATCTTGGACTCGTCATTCATTGGAATCAACAGCCAGTGCACTGCCTGCCTGCCTTGAGCTCATCAGCCCCTGCAGCTGTGTGAACCAGGAAAAGCCTCCAGCTTGCCGTTTGATCCAGGAATTTGGGACTTGCCAGCTTCTGTAAGTGTGTGAACCATTTTCCTAAGATAAATTTATTTTTCTCTCTATACTGGTTTTGCTTCTCTAGAGAATCCAGTCTAACACATTTGGCACCAAGAGTGGTTCTAGAGAGACAAAATCATAAGGAAGAGCTTCCTAAATTGGTTCTCCAATTTGGTTAATCATAAAGGAACTGGTGACCCTGCCTCCATTCGTAAAGAGGGCCCTACTAATCCATGGATGAAGTGGCAACATTAATATGCAAAATAGCACCATCAATAGATCAAATACTTTCGAGAAGTGAGGCTCTGGGTGATCGCATATTTGGCAGTTTTCTGCAATTCTGTCAGTATGAGGAGTATAAGGAAGCTGGTTGGTTGGTCCTACTTACACTAGACAAAGTGGTGAAAGAGTGAGATGAGTTCAAAGCTGCTGAGTCACAGCTTAAGCGCTGCATGAAAGATCTCAATGTTTCCAGTTGTGCTCTGAAAGAAAGCCTTATTTCTTCTAGTAACAGAGCTGACATTGCTGAAAAACTAACCCAGAGTCTTATTGTAAAGGTGACTGAATTACAACACCAATTAAATTGCCAACCCAGAGTTGTCTGAAGTTAAAGTGAGGGCACTGATTGGGAAAAAATGGGATCCTGAGACCTCAGATGGGGACATATGGTCAGATAGGAAGATCAGGATATGGAATCTGTAAATTCTGTTGAATCCCTCCCATCTGAAAGGATTACTGTAAAACCATTATCCCCTCCACCTCAGTTTGATGGAATTAACCCAACTGTTCCTACTGGGTTATTGCCTGAGGCAGAGGCCATGGAAGACTGCTAAATGTTCTCAGAAACTGCCCCAAACACCCACTGTTGCTGCTAGACCTATAAAGTTAAGTCCAAGCAAGCCCCAAAAGGTGAAATAGAAAGTGTGACTGGGGAGATGGTACGCTACACCCGAGAAGACCTACTTGATTTTGCTAACATGTACAGACAGAAACCTGGAGAAAATGTTTGGGAATGGTTACTGATGGTGTGGGATAAGGGTGCAAGGAATGTAACATTGGATCAGTCTGAGTTTATTGATTTAGGACCACTAAGTATGGATTCTTCATTCAGTGTTTCAGCTCAAGAGGTTAGGAAAGGATCTAATAATTTGGCTGGCTTACTGAAGCATAGATTATGCGGTGGCCTACCTTAAATCGGAGCTCTGGTAGCACAGTGCCTAAGGCACGTGACTGCTAACCAGAAGGCTGGCAGTTCAAACCCACCAGCCGCTCCTCGGAAGGAAGATGGGGCAATCTACTTCCGTAGTGATACTGCCTCAGAAACCCAAGGAGGGGTCACTATGAGTCGGGGCCGACTCGACAGCACGTAACAACAACAACAACCTTAATTCAAGTTGAAGTGCCAGACCTGCCTTGCTATAACGTAGAAGGTATCCAGAGGCTCAGGGAAATTGGCCTGTTAGAATGGATTTATCAGATTAGACCCCTAGAGCCAGAAATGGAGAGTCCAGAAGACAAGCCTTTCACCAGTATGGTGAGGAGTAAGTTTGTGAAGGGAGCCCCAGCATCCTTGAAGACTGCTGTGACTGCTATTTTATGGAAGCCGGATTTGACAGTGGGAATTGCCCTAATTGAACTAAGACACTTAACTACAATGGGGCTGACTGGACCCCATGGTAGTAGGGGCCAAGTGGTAGCAGTTAATTGACAAAGGCAAGGTGGATATGGTTACCATAATGGACAGCAGAGTCAGAACAGTAATCAAAATAGTCTGACTCATGAAATTATGGCATTGACTACTTAGTCATGGTGTTTCTAGTAGTGACATAGATGGCAAACCTACTATTTACGTGCTCTGTATAGACAAAAGAATTCTAGGTCATGTGAACAGCAGCCTATATTGAATCACCAGAATACAGAGTCACAGCCTCTCAATCAATTCCCAGACTTGAGTCAGTTTACAGACCCAAAACCACTGGAATGAAGGGGAGGCTGGATCCCTTTGAGGAAGGACCCCACTACATTGCTAAAAATCTATAATGTCAATCTTTCTCCCAGCCTTCCCCCAAGGGATCTGAGGCCTTTTGCAAGACTGATTGTTCACTGGGGAAAGGAAATAATCAGACTTTTCAGGGATTACTGGACACTGGCTCTGAACTGACACTAATTCCAGGACACCCAAAGTGTCACTGTGGCCCACCAGTCAGAGTGGGGCCATATGGAGGTCAAGTTAGTGATGGAATCTTGGCTAAGGTGCATCTCAGTGGGTCCAGTGGGTCCTTGAACCCATCCTGTAGTGATTTCCCCAGTTCCAGAATGCATCACTGGAATAGATAGATACACTGAGCAATCAGCAGAATTCCCACATTGGGTCCCTAACATGTGGAGTAAGGGCTATTAAGGTAGGAAAAGCCAAGTGGAAACCATTAGAACTGCCTCTACCTACAAAAATAGTAAGGCAAAAGCAATACTGCATCCCTGGAGGGGCTGCAGAGATTACTGCCACCATCAAGGACTTGAAGGATGCAGGGGGGTGATTCCCACCACATCCCCATTTACTTCACCTATCTGGCCTGTGCAAAAAGCAGATGGATCTTGGAGAATGACAGCAGATTATCGTAAACTTAATCAGGTGGTGACTCCAATTGCAGCTGCTGTTCCTGATGTGGTTTCATTGCTTGAGCAAATTAGTACATCTCCTGGTACCTGGTATGCAGCTATTGATCTGGCCAATGCCTTTTTCTCAATACCAATTTCAAAGGACCATCAGAAG